TTGTAAGAATTGCATTGCTCTTTGACATCCGCACACATGAGACTGTCCTTATAATCCCTTGCATTAGTACATGCCGCAACGTTTATCTGGTTTTCCCTCAAATGCGCTTAATTGATCAGACTAATTATCAAAGTGCGGCGTCGTGCATTGTGTATCGCTAGTGCATAAATCGCTCTTGCGCGTTTAAAGCACCGCATTATACTTAATCGCGCTTAATCAATTGCCGTGTTGATTTCGGTACGCGACGTATTTTATTATTGCATCTTTACGCTCTTCCGTTTTTACGCATATGCAAATTTCCGAGTTCTAAAATCAACATTATGAGAGCGAATGTCGCAATATTTTGTAATGTATTCCATCCGCGAGGTGAACGGCAATGTTTACAATTGCGCAGCGATCCTGTTGTATTAATATATATGTAAAACTTCATTATTTATGCCGCGCATTTAGCGCTTAATGCGACTATCTAATTCTAAATCCATTATTCATACAAAACTCGTGCGCATTATTACTCGAATAGGACGCGGAACGTTAAGCTTTTTACATCCGGGTTTCGTACCGTAGAGAAAAAATTGATGAACTGCTAGAGAACGAGTTAAAATAGATAAAACAGTAAGAATATGCTTTTTTTTTATAAATTGACTTCAGCACTATGACTTTTTAGCTGAGTGCAGGATATTTTCTATGTTTTATCTAACGTTAGAGAAAGTTTAGAATCAAATGAACAGGTTAATTCATCAAATTAATTTAGTACTTGTATTTATAAAATTACGCAAATAAAAAGTCATGTACAATATTATACATATAACATTTATTCACGTATATATAAGTACATAACAATTTATTGAAATTATTATTAATCATGCTCACTCTCCCAATTTTCATATGGCACACTTCTCTCTCTTTCTCTCTCTCTTTTGTATGTAACGCAAAGTTTCAAGAGAAGTAATAGAGCGAGCGGATGGCAGTGACTGATACTCGCGTTGAAACTAATGGCGCGTGCAGAATGCGGATTCAGCATGACGCGGTCGATAGTAGACGTACGAGAGAATGGGTAGGAGAGTCGGAGCAAGGAGGGTGATGTTTTGTTAACCATCACGAAGAGAGAGAGAGAGAGAGAGGGAGAAAGAGAGGGCTTGTAGGGCTACCTGCTTACCCTCTTGTCTGCATGAAGCGTTGATTTTGACAAAGGGTTTAAATGCCTGGCGAGACCGCCCAAGCATATCTAATTCTGCACCCCTGCAACTCCGGGACAAGCGACGATATCTAGTCAAACTAGGGATGCACCGTTGCCTCCCGTGACAAAGAGCGCTGGCGTAGGAGTTGTTTTTCACGACCTAGCCCCTTTTGAAGGGTCATACGCTTTTAAAGCCCTCCGCTTTCCGCGCTGCCAAGCAAAATGCAAGGTCACGTAAACAGCTTTCGATCGTAGAGATTGGAGATTGTCTTGCGAAAAGATAAAATTGATGTGTGGACTGATGCGATTAGCGATGAGTATTTAAGATGTAAAATGATATTGAATCGCGATTATCTTGACATCGTGTCAGAATGTCTTTATGAAAGAAATTAATTAAATTTAAAATTATATTTGTTTATTTTTATTCTTATCAAATTTTGTCTTACAGCTTCCTTAATGCTATTGTTATAAATCTTTTGATTTTCTATCAGTGAATTCGTGGTAGTGTATATATGCTTGTTTCATTTCATCATACTTATTTCAGAGGACAAAAGCAATTTGTCATGCTCTGTACACACGACGATAAGTATTTACATGCAAATAAATCGCATGTGTAGGTCTTATATAATGCAACGCACTACGGGAAAACAGTCCAATAACTAACATTATTCTTCACATTTATTAGAGCACAGTGTTTTTCTTGTTAGATATAAATATCTAATCTGTCGTAAGAACGCATACGCAAACAATATCGTTCATCTCATAATATAATACAATCTCGCAATGTTTTTCCGAAGTGATAATTGCATGTTAATAACCTGGTTATCGCATCCGTTGAGAATTATAAGATAACATGATATTTTTTGTCATTCTGACGTTATCGTGCTTAAACATGAAATCCGGATTCATTGTGTAAATATCGTATTACGAAAAAAAGATAAAAACGGACTTTCGACCGAGAGATGAAAGTATCGTGTAAATAAAAATTTATGCCGTGCGTGTTGAATAAAAAATGAAAAAATATATATTTTTTTAAAGTACTTCGAAACGAATTTCGTGCTAGCCGCGCAATCTTCGATCCCTTTCGATATTCTGATATTTACACAAGTCTTCTAAGAAATCCTCTTATTTTCTTTTGGAATTTTATTACCAAGATTATCCCATTTTCCATCATTCGACAGAAGCATAATGAATGATCATTAAACATTTTTTCAAGAAAATAACAGAAACAGCTTGATAATTAAAGACGTCTTTACAAAAATATCGTTTATTTAATTATGAAGAAAAATATTTTTAGAAAATTGTGAATTTTTCGCGCAACGCATTCTTTTTTCCGTATTATTTATATGAATTATTACTATTATCTTCTATTATTTAATTACGAGATACGTTTTATCATGATACATGTACTTTGGTGCCATTGATAGCTACGCAATGCTTATCAACAATGACAAGAGAATGGGAAGCTATTCTCTTGTCATGTATCGACAGGATAGAGACACTCGATAATCGCATCTCAGCATTCTCGATTCGTAAGTGACAGTTGTACGATGCCACGCGTGTGAGCAATAGCAGTGCGAACAAAGTACAGGATCACTGTTCAATTACGCACAACGTAATGCCATGCGTGCAACTGTAGAACGACAAACCGTAGATCGCTAGGAGACACGGGATGCACGGATGTCGGCTCGTCCCAATGATGTGCCCGGTGTTCGTACATCCGTGTGTCTCCGCATACACGCGCACAAGTATGCGTATGTGTGTGGGTGCACGTATCGGATAAACACACCCCACACCGTATGCATCTCGCCGTTGCCCGTTGCGGAGTGGTCCTCCCCCTCCGGGTAATAACAGTAAATCCCGAGTAATAAATCCCTCCGCCGTGTCTTCCTTCCTCACCCCCCTTCGTCCTTCTCTCTGCCCGCTCGCGCGGGCGGTGGGTGTGCACACGCCTGTGCGTGTAGATGCTTGCATGTGCGTGGCGACCTCCTACCCTTCACCTGTTCATCCCTCTCTGTTCGTTCCTCCCAACAAGTTTCTCCCTCACTCGAGCGGCGCGCACTCATGTACGCACACGCGCGAAGATGGGCATGCAATTTCTATCCCGCTCGCCTCTCTTCGGGAGATGGGATATACGTGTATGACGTGCATTGTTGTAAATTGCTCCCATGCTACGGGCCGTATACCTCTACCGAGTTAATCGAAGATCCTCTCGAACTCCCTTGAACTCGCACTAACGCGACGGAAACCGGAAATCCAGTTGAATGTGCTGCGTACTACTGCACGATTCCTCGGACGAAATGATCCATCGTTGTCGATCCACGGTACAAAGCACGCTCTCGATCGAGGTCAGTAGACAAGATTCATAACTGCGATTGATAACGTACTGACGTATCGCCGTGGATCCATGGAACATTCGGAACAACGTACAATTGCACGAACAGCGATTTAGTCTAATAAATTAGGAAGCAATTTAACGTTGGACCAATAACAATCCTTTAGCTTATACCCGGTTATTATAGCGATTATTACCGATGTTATCTTGCTTTTGGATGGGCGCCAATTGAGCAGAGGATAATGGTACTACATTGTTATCGTAATTTATACTTTAGCATCGGAATTTAAAGTAGTAAGTACTTGAATTTAGAAATAATCCGTGAAGTATCGTTAATCATATGATGAGAATGTGATATTTTTATATTACATTTTAGCTTTAAAGAAGATTATCTCTTTTTTTTTTTCAATTTCACGCGCCAGTTTATTTTTCTGTCTGAATTATATAAAGTGATAATAATACGTCAAAGCTTGACTCGCATCACTCAACGTCAAATATTTCTTTTTGTGACTTACAATTTCGTGAAACATGAAAGATAAATAACTTACGGAGGGATACGTGAGAATTAATATATTGAACTGTGCGAATACTTCAAGCGAGGGTGGAAGAAGGGGGAGGGGGTTGCCAGGGAAGTTGCTTTATATAGCGTCCTAGGGTTACCGAGTTATGCGAATCACTGACTGTGCACATCAAAGGGATTACCTCGGTAAATCAGCTCCCATAATCTCTCTGGACGGTGAACAGCCGATGTACCGGACAGCTGTAGGGATCGATCGGTTGCCCGCTACAATTATGCAGTCCGATCAAGGGTATCGAGATAACCTTCGTGCACAGGCATATCGAGCGCGCGATAATCTACCGTCGTACCGTCGATAATTTCAATAATTAACGAGTATGCGGCTCGTCCGCTGGCTCTTGCGACTTGGCTTCTTTATGCGTAATCAGCCTCCGTCGTGTAATATTATTAGACATGGAAGCATAAAAATTCCGGAATGCGGATAAACGAAAAGAAAACTATGAATGAAAAAGTTTAGCATTGACGTCGGTTTTTATAGGAGTTTGTCGCAAGACTATGAGGAAAACTTTAACGTTATAATCTCTTAAAAAACTTAAAGTTAAAAGTCATTTCTCGTCAGTTATGATATCCAACTCTGAAATCACGTACAATACTATAAGTAAAGTACAGATTTATAGTAAAATACATGGCTACCTCTTGCGCATAATACTGTATAATATCATCGTTATGAAATTGGAGCATGTAATAAAGTTGTTAACTTTAATTGTAAGACCGAGTTAACGATTTACTATCTTTTCCCGTACATTATAGTCCTCTGACGTAGATACAGAAAATAGGAACAGTTAATTTAAACGTATATCTTAAAATTAACTTCACTGCACTCGATTCCAAGTTAGCGTCGGTATCAGTTTCACTTTCCAGTATGTATGTCAAGCATCACCAGTTCACGAGTTCGCTCTTTCTTGTTTCAGAGAAGAACAATGCCCGTAACAATCGACGCCGACGCGTGAGCGAGGGTGCCAGTCGCGAGAGAACCGAGAAAGATTCGGCGGAAACCGCGTTATCCACGCGGCAGCAAGAGGATCGTGAAAATAAAGGTCCGCCGTCGGGCAAGGTAAGCAATCGTGTTGCGCGGCCGGTGCTAGAGGAAGCGAACAGTGCGTCGGGAAGTGCTTCGAAGCTACGAAGACGCGGCGCTGCGGTAAAGAGCCCGACAACCGAGCACCAGAGTCCGGCGCAGCAACAGAGGCCGGTACGAAGAAGACCGAGGCCAGGAGGCGGCCAAGAAGTCAAGACAGACGCAGAGGGAGAATCTGCCGAGCATCATCATCGTACCGGCGCGAGAGCCGACAAGGACGAACGCCTCGGTAACAGATCGGAAGACGAGGGGGAGGAAGAGGAGGAGGAGGAGGAGCGTCTCGAGGGAGAGGATGAAGAGAGTCAGGAACGCTGCGATCCACTGACTAAGCGGCTAAGAACAAGCCCCGTCGGCAGAAAGCTCCGTTCCGAGAGTAGCAAGAGCAAAAACGCTGAGGAAGCTGCAGCGGATCGGGCCAGAGGATCGGTGGTGGAGGCAGAGGGAGAGGACGAGGAGGAAGACGACGAGGACGACGTCGAGGAGGAAGCGGGGGTGGAAAAACACGACGGGGCCGAACGAGAGGTCGGTAAACTTGAGGAGGACGAGGAGAGTCAGTCCAGGGAGCGGGACAGAGAGCCCGAGCCACCACCTCCGGACAAAGTCGATCCTGGAGGCGATCCGACTTCCAAGGAGGAGCAGCAATCAGATAACAAATCAGAAACAAGAAAGGACGCTCGCTCGACCGATTGGGGCGCAGATAAGGTCGACGAGCGCAAGGAACAGCAACGACAACAACAACAGCAGCAGCAGCAGCAGCAACAGCCACCGCAGTTACTCGTGAATGGATTGCACGTCGATTCGCCGCTGGTCAGCGACAAGACGAATGCCATCCGCGAGGGCAGTCCGTCGGTGCTGAAGTCGACTCGATCAAAGACAAAGGGTCTCGCGGAAGAAGACAGAGAGGACGTAGCGGCGGCGGCGGCGGCGGCAGAGGACGAGCGCGACGAGAACGTCAGTGAGGAAGAGGTCGGCTCGCAGCGGTCGCGGCGCACAGAGCTGACCACCACCGAGTTAGGCACGGAGGATAGCGTGGGTAGCGTCGGTGGCGTGAGGGCGGCCAGCGTCGAATCGGTCGTCGAGCTGCTGGAGTCGAGCAGTCAGGACTCAGGCTCCGTGCTGGAGAGGCTGAGTCCGTTTAGTAGCAGCGGCGGCGGCGGCCCCGGCAGGCAGAGCAGCCTGCTCCTGGAACAGCAGCGGGAGCAGGAGCGCAGTCGGCACAACGAAAGCCCGATCATCCTTGCCGAGAGACTGAACAAGCCGCCACCGCCGATCGCCGGTCACCATCATCACCATCACCTGCAACCCTACCATCAGCCGCATCATCAGCAACAGCAGTTCCATCACCACCATCAGCAACACCACCAGCAACGTTATTCCGCCAACAGTCCGGTGATCCATCACCATCACCAGCAGCAACAACAACAGCCGCCGTCGCAGCATCATCACTATCAGCTAGCGAGCAGCCCGCACCAACACCATCACCATTCCACCGCCCGGCTGACCCCGTCGAGCCTCCTCGAGGTGCAACAGCAGTCTCACACATCGAGGGGCGGCGATGAGGCCGGCCTCATGGAGGTGGAGGCCGGGGCTGGTATACCTGGAACAGGCGTACTCGTCGGTGTGCCTACGGCGGTCGGGGCCATACGGTCGTCGGGGGGCAACAGCGGCGCCGTCGGCGTCGTCGGTACTTACGGCGACAGCGGCTCCGATAGCGGGGTAAGCTCGCTGAAGAGCGCCAGTTCCGGCGACGAGAGGAGCGGCAGCAGAAGCTCGGCACTTAGCGTCGAGGAGACGACGTCGACCTCGACACCGTCCGCTGCCGCCGCTGCCCCGGCCAGGATCTGGCACGTGCAGAGCGTGCAACACACGTCCCTACTGATGGCGCATCCGTCCCAGAGCGCGCCCAACGCCGGTGCGGGTGCCGCGGTCACGGCACCGCCGGTCGGCTATCACAGCCCGGCTCCACCGAGTCACCATGCCGCCGAGATGCTCTGGAGGCCGTCCAGGGCCTATCCGCCGCTCTCGCATACTCTCTTGGGTCCACAACCATCCAGTCCGGACGAGCTTCTCGAGAGAGATCGCCATGATAGGATGCTACGGTGAGTCAAGTTTTTGATTGTCTTTCAATGTTCAATGGGAACATTTCAGAGAATCTGCGTTGGAAGTTTTCCAAAAGTTCTCAAATTGAAAACCTAATTATTGCTTATAAAAAATAGATTAAAAGAAATTAAAAAGAATTGGCAGAGATTTTTTTCTGTAAAGTTGTGTTCCTTTAAATTGTAAGGAATGATAAAAAGTAAAAAATAAAATGGATTTTTTAATAATTAAAACGTGGTATTTAATTACCAATGAAAGCTTAAACTCTACGTTTGAAGTATACACAGAAAAAGATCGATTTTAATGCTAAAAATTCCTGACTTCGATTAGATGATATTCAACTTTATAGAAACAAATTTCTCTCTCAATTGATTTTAATCTCTCTTTACTTCGAAGTATCGGATAGAAGTGCGATTTATAAAAATGCTGTGAGAATGCAGGCGTCGATATATACTCGCGAATTTATTATACAGATCAAAAGTAGATCCACGCCTCGATAAACGGCGCCTCGATAGATTTGACGTTGCGTTACGTCTCTCCTATAATCAGCTCGGTCAATTGACGGTTCGCAACGCGCGATATGTAACGACGATAAAAAGTTTATTTACCACGGCTACTTTTCCGCTCGACTACGTGCGCCATTAATAGCGCTGGCACATGCACGAGCGATTTCGAGTACGCGCATAATAATGCATTGAACAACAGTGTGACGAAGTCATGACTACGTTATGCCAATAATCTTAAACCTCAGATTTGCTTTCCCTGCCGACACGAATTGCTCACCGTAATCCGAAACGTTTATCGTTTTATTTTTTTGCTCGATCAGTTGCCTCGTCAACAACCTCGACACAGAAATGATCTGAAACGTGCCAATAACACCTCGATCCAATATCACGGGCAACACGAACCGAGAAGTCTTTTCGCCTTTTGTTCCGAGTTCCTCGAATATTCGCGAGAAAAACAGACGTTTCGCTCGTGCGTAATTTACTCGCTCGCGTGTCCCCGCGACAAAACGTTTTCAGCCGGCCCCGCGGTAGATCCTCCGAAGGAAACGAGACTATCGTCCGGCATCGGCTGAAGTGAATGCCCGACCGTTGTGGCAGCTGCATTCGGCACTTTCTCGCCGTCCGCGCCGCCGGTTCTAGCCGTCGGACTTTCTTTGTCTGACTGCTCTCGCGTGACTACGTCAAGCGTACACTCGCCATTCTCGTTTCTCGTCGTGTGCGGGGAGGGCAGACAGGCGGATGCGTCTGAAAAAAAGAGAAGAAAAAAAAGAAAAGAGGTGGACGGGACAGGCTCGAGCGTGCGTATCCACGGCCAAGCGTTGCGCGCGCGCAGCGAACGCTGCACGACGTGTATCTACGTGCGTTTCCGGGCGCCAGCTGCGAGCCGTTCCTCCGACTTCCGCCGGATTATCGCGATAGAGACCGAGGCACGGCCTGAGTAATCGAGTCATCATTCGCGCGGCAATGCCGACAACGAGGCGGTGACCCGAAACCGTCGCTCTTCGGCTTGTATAAATATAAATCCAGTGGAACACTTACCAACACCGACGCCGTCGCCGCCGCCGCTGATCGGCACGTGTCGATGACCCTGCCGGTTGTACGCGCGGCCGCACCTCGCTTGACCTCACCGAAGGCCGCCCGCCGAAACTTTCGGTGTCGCTCGACGATTTCCATTATGTGCGTCACCCCCTCGATTTCTACATAATGAGACCCGCTACGGACCGCTTTATCCTTAAAGAGCGGACAGGTGAAAGTGATAACACTGAGGCTCGCATTAGCATAATTTTTCTCAACGTTAATGCGCGTGCACCATTGAATCGCAGCTTTATGTATACAAGATGTTGGAAAGTTCGCGTTTTATTCCGCGGTATTACGAATACTCTTTTGTCGCGATTATCATAATTGGTAAATTCTTCTCGCCGACAGTTCCGTTTTTTTTTTTCAATTGTCCATAGTCAAAGTTCGTCGGGTAGAAAGTTATTCTTGAAAGTATAAAACTTGCATGTAACTCTCTTCATCGATAATAATGGAAACATAGTTCAAGATAGACGTGGACTCGGCCGTGACTCTCCACGTCTGTCGATGGTCGTATATGCTTACATATCGTTCTACCGGTGCGCATCGATCGAAGAAGGCGGTATGGAAGTTCTGTAACAGTACGGCAAACTAAAAGTTGGAATGTTTGAAACTAACCACGGTGAACTTTTAGATTACGAATAATTTAAGTACGAAACTGTTATCGCGACGGTGCAAGTACCGTGAATCGGAAGCTATTGATATCTTGGCATTTAAGAAAAGATCAGCTCAAAATATCCGGCCTTAGAACTACGGTCGTTGATTTTGACGTAGGAGTTGGTATAAAGTACTCGGGAGTACTGTTTACACTTTTATGAAAGAGTTATATCAGTTCCATTTCTTGTAGTCCAGTTTCTCGCTGTAGGTATCACATTCTTTGGATTTTTTGCAACTAACGGTAACCAATATGAAAATTCTCTCTCTCTCTCTCTCTCTCTCTCTCTCGCGTGCTTTTAACGTGTCATTGAAGCTAATCCTTGCAACAGATCCAGCGACCTGACCCACGGGACGAGTTCAGCGAGCATCTAGGTAGGGGATAATTAATAGTCCGTGAACCGAGAGCATGACTGAGATATTAAAGCTCTTCTCGTAAGAGCCCGGGCGGAAAAGGGCGACGGAGGGTTTGGGTTGGCAAGCTACTAGACGACGATGATGACCTCCTACATCGTTTGCCACTGCTGCTACTCGTGTTCGCGAGGGTGGGGACAGACAGGGAGAGGACGTGCGTCGACTTGACAATATATTACATCAAGTCGGTGCCAAGTCCCTCTAAATATCATTCCCGCGTATTTTTATGACGTTGAACGTCGGCTACATTACGACGCTTTTTCGGATCGCAGTATTTTATTTCGGACGCTAAAAAAAGAGAAAGAGAAATTTACAGTCCCTGCACCTCGACGTCTCGACGCTTTCTGATAACTGTCATCTCGTTATTTGCTCGCAGAGATTCGTGACCGGTTGTCCTCCAATTTATTTACGCCATCTCGTGAAATATTCATTCATGTTTCTAAAAAAAAAGAAATAGATTTTTATTTGCCGACATTTATAATAATAAAGAGAAATAAACAAGTAACGAAATTAAGGTCATTACTCCTAGAAAAGAGGAATATAAAATCTACTTATAGTCGTCAACAAATATAGATTGGTGAATTAATAAAATTGATGGTGTGAGTAAGAAAAAAAGATTTTTACTTCAAATCTTTCTATTCGTGTAAAGTAAAGTAAATTTGCTATGCAATTGCAAATTTTTTTCGCTTATGCAACAATGATGTAGGGATTCGCTGGGATTCCATGGAAATTAGACTGGCTAAAATTGGAAGCAACAGTTTGTCGGCAGACGAGTTAATCGTCTTTGCATCCTCGAGACGTTTTCAAGGCCGAAGCTGTCCGATAGCATCCGAGAGAGAGAGAGAGAGAGAGAGGACGCGCGCTCTCAGTTTTCCCTTTCTCTCTCGTTGGGGGTACAAGCGAGCCCACGGGGGGAACACGCCGCAAAAAGAACGAAGACGCGCGGTGAGAGAGCTACCCTAATGACCATCGTGTAGCGACGAAGGTTAACTACGCGGTTCATCCTCCTCGCGATCGATATCCCACGTTCTTGCGCGTCTCATCTTCTCTCATTCTGGGATCCCACCGCGGAGCCGGTAGCACTCGATCACGAGGTATTAAAGCCTGATTGATCGATGCATCTTTTTTCTGATGCTCAATCCCGGCCTCGACGATGAGTCACGCGAGACCTGAAATGCGTTCCCGAATACAAAGCTATGGTTAAGATTAATCGAGCGAAATTATTCTCGTTCCAAGAAAGGCACCGGTCTCGGCACCGATCGCTATAGAATTAGTTTCGACAAAAAAGCAGTGTGAGAATTTATCAAAAAAGATTAACGCTATTAAAAATGTAGCATAGGACCGATTTTAATTACGTTGTACAAGTTGTTTTTCAAGAATTGCCCTAAAATCACGCAAAAATTACATCGTGTTACGATGAAAAATTCATAACGTTCTTAGTGCCTCTCGCTGTAAAATATTTCGCTAGGTGAAGTAGCAAATGTATAACCGCATTATACATCGTTAGATACTAACCGTTGCAAGTTAACGTCGTTCATTAACGAAGCAGGCATTAGGACGAGTTATCAGGCTTCACTTCGCGAAAGCCATCGGCAAATTAAAGAGCAAATTTACCCGGGATATCGATGAGGGATGTTGTTGCCGAGTTAGCCGGGAGAAGTAATCGCTCGTTACGTGTAACGAACAGGTGAAATTGGAAACTTGATAAAGCGGAGATACGGATCGGCGGCGATCGGTTATCCGCACGAGAGGACCGTCGTGGAACGCGAGCGCCCGTCGCGTTCGCCGATATCACGCGAGCCTTCTTTTTTTTTTTACGTGTCGACTCGAAACTTCCTGGAATTTCCTGCGGCAGAAAAATGTCGCGGTGACAACGCGTGCACGCGTTCCGATGCTTTTTACGCGCACGTGGCGTGATCACGAAACAATGGTTCCGACTGAGGCTTGCCCCTTAGGCGCAAATAGGATCGATCTTTCGTGTCGAAGTTGCATCAAAGATGTACTAACGACTGTTACTCAAGTGAATCATATAATTAACACACCGGTTCAAGTAATTGGAGTCTTTTACGCGAAAGAAAATTACGCAGTAATTTAAATGATTCAAGTGAGAAAGAAATATTATCCAACTAGCAGTCATTATAAATAATATCAACTCGTCTTTTTTGCTTTATCTGCAAAATGTCTCGACTGCATACATACTAAAATATCCTGCAACGCAGAATTATTGCGTCTTTTTTTATCAACGTGAATCGAAACTGGTGCGGATGATCGAATCGTTCGCAATTTTACTCCTTTTCTTCGAGAAAGCTATCCTAGAGTGCAGCCGTGTTATTGTTCTATTTTAAATATATATG